ATTATTATTTAAAAAGGCAATAAGAATAAAAGAAACGCGGGTGGATAAAAATTATAAATATAACAAATATTTATATAAATATAGAGATATATTTGTAAAAAAATTATTATTACGTATTGGAGGTGAACATAAGTGTATTTTGATTGAGATTTTGCAATACAAAATCGCAAATTATATTGTTTCTTGCATGTTTCGCAACGGTAAGAAGAATTATGTGAGCACGTGTATTTCTGTGATGTAATAAATAATTATCTTTTGAATTCAGTGTCAAATAAGTAGAAATGATTTCAGGTTTTCTGTTGCAAGTTAAATATTCTAAAAGTTGATTATCACGTATTTCTTTCCATTTGGTATATATTTCGTACATAATTTGGTAGTCCGCTGATATCAAACCATTACAATACATCCATTCTTTCCATTCTGATTGCATTGTTGAACTGTTACCAGAAAAAAAGTATTTCTTACAAAAATTTAGCTTATTTAATGATAAAATAATTTATCCAGTACAGTATTTGATGTATATAATATAAGAATATGTAGAGCAAAACAGATATTGTTTATACAAATATTGTGGTTGTAAAACATCTTACTTATCACTTGTAGAATATAAATCTTCTTTCATTTGCATACTGGCTACTTCTCCACATTCTTTGTTACCAAGAAGACATGCCCATCTTACGGCTTCCTCTCTTAAACATTCCACAAGATCGTTCTCGTATGGCCTTGCATTATATCCTATTTTTTGTAGAACTCCACTCAATATTTTTTTCATATTTTCCTAAAAATTGGTAAATAATATATATTTTAATATATATTTTAATCTATTGTTATTTATAAAAGATATGATGTATGTATGTATTTATACATATATGTATAAATTTATTTTAACTTTATTTATATAAAAGTTATTCAATCAAAACAATCTCATATCCTTGAAATGTCATAATCTTAAACGATTTCTGAGACAATTCGTATTCTTGCCAAATTTTGTCAACATTTTAATTTTTAAGTTAAAATTGAAAATAGTTTACAATTCACAGATACAAATGAGTCCGGGCAGGACGCGTAACTTATGAGACTAGTTTAAGTATTACGTTAGTCTTATGACGTATAACACCATCCTTTCCTGCTTGCTGTACCGGACTCGTGTGTGTGTGTGTGTGTGTGTGTAGCGAATTATTTTCAATTATCTATAACTCAAAAACTAACCTTTGAACAAAATTTTACTAAAAGAAATATTATCGTAGAAATCGCTCAAGAATATGACATTTCAAAGACATCAGATTGTATTGAATCATCTTATATAATATTTTGATGCAATCTTTCTTATAGAAATTTCCTATTACCTACCGTCACGTCGTTAGCTTCTTGAATTGAAACCATAAAAGTTATATGTTCAAAAGCTTTAAACATAGCATACCATACTACATAATTCGTTTCTCGTGATAAAAATTCAGATATTTTCCAAAACATAGTGTAATCAAGTTGTTTATGTATGAGGAAGTAAAACGCATCATCTATGATTTGAGCTCGATTAAGAATATGTATGTCGAAATATCTCGTTGAATTCATGTACTGCGCAAGTTTAAGCCAATTATCAGTATCATAATTAACACGATAATATCCTGTCATAAAAAAGAAAGTTTTCATCATTAAAGTCTCTTGGTAGAGTTTATCAAGAAATAATTTTTCATATCGCATTTTGTAAACATTTCCTCAAATAATTTATTTTTTACTAAAATATTTTGAACAATTTGTTTGAAAAAAGTGTAGGAGCGATTAATGTGTGAGAATGTTTGCTTGCAAGCATGAGTGACACGCACACGTACGAGTATGCGAGTGCATGCGTCATGAGCAGTATGTCCGTGTCAGGCTACACATTGAAGATTGAAATTTGACTTATCAGGACAAAGAACTTTTAGCTTTTTTTGTTTCGATTGGTCAAATTTCAATCTTTAATCTTTAATCTTCAATGCGTAGTCTGATACGGACGTAAAATTACAAAAGCAAGAAAGATTAAACATAATAAATGTCATGTTTTATATTTACCTGTTTGTTGTAAATTGACTATAATCCAATCATTTTCATCAAACTTTTGCACTAATCTTTCCGGTTTTTGCGATGATAGCCAAAAGGGTTTATTGACAAAAAAATCGTGAAAGTTCATATTTGATTTTGTCGTATACGTCACGAATACTGAAAGATGTTCTGTATCCTCGTCAATAAAATCGAAACTGCGATATTCGAATGCTGTCTTGTTAGTAAAATAATTTCGTGTCACGTGCAGTACAGGATAATATTGTTCCGCAATCCAAACATATATAAGTTCTTTTAAAATTAAGTCGCTGGAGTTATTTGAATACGTACGTAAAACAGTTTGCATTATGTCCCATAATTTATCTGTTTGATTGTATCTGTAAAATGGAAAATTTTTATTTTTAAGAGTATATATTGTGCGAATTAATATTTAATATATTAAAATATTTATTTATCTATTTGTATAATTAGTGATTAGTAGTATTTGTATAATTGTAGACGAGAAATAGTATATAGGATATATCTTTTCGGATTTGGAAAGTCTTTCTTTATCTAGTTTTATTTTTCGGATAAATTAAAACTTGTTTTTAAAATTGTGGATAAAGGTGATAACTTATCAAAATCTCTTATTCTTTTTACCTTCAAAATTGTATTGAAATATATTAATAAACTTTGACTATAATATGAAGAATAATAGTTTCTCTATCTGTGTATATTTTGAATATTAATTTTCAAAAGACTATTAAAAGATTGTCAAAATTAATTTGATTAAACTTTAAAATGAAGTTTAGTTTACTTAAATAAGAATAGTATTTTAATTTCAAAAGATAGAAAGAGGGAGAGGGACTAGAGAGAAGGTGAGAGGGGGGTAGGCTGAGAGAAGGGGGAGAGAGATAGAGAGAGAGGAAGAGGCCAAATTGACATAGAGCCTTCTAAAATGACATATTTTTCAAAATTGAAATGTCCCGTTTTATTATCATTTTTTATTATCATTTTTGATAATATTAAGTTATTCTACATGCTTTCTAAAAGTATTTTACTTATACTTTCACTTTTATCGTTTTCTTTATGGTACGATTTGACGGGTTTTATTAAGATGTACCTAAAACTGACATATTCAACAGTGGGCGACTTATCGATATGTAAATTAATTTAAATTGACACACATAAATTCCACTTTAAAAATAAGGAATTGAATTATATCTATCTAGTTTTTTATAAATGCTGTACACTAAAAGAAAATGGCATTATTATATTATTAATATAATTATAATATAAATTTTTATTTTGAGTTTTTAACTAATTGTAAGGGATAATTTCTAAAAACAAAATGTATATCGGTTTTGGCGATTTTCCTTGAAAACTCAACGTTATGTTGCTTACAGCTTTGTGAATTTGAGATAACTCGATAGGTTTGAAGCAGTTTATATTTATCCTTTTGAATTTTAGAATTTTAAATACGTCACTTTTCTTTAATATTCGATTTATATAATTATCATCTAGCAAAAGATATAAAAGATATTACTTACTGTTTGTTAGTAACATATGTGCGGATACCAGTCCAAAACACATCAGGAGTTAACAAATGGTATAACATGCGCCATACATTGGTTGCTGAAACAATTAAAATTATAATATCCTTGTAAGTACTTTGAAATACATATTTTTTTTAAATTAAGATATATTTCTTTTATACTAAAATTTACTTATGTATCAGTATATTGTATTTTAAATGGTGTGTAAGTTTTTTATATTCTTTTGCAAAATTTAAAAATTTATGTATTATTCAACAGTATTATTTAACTACATTTACTTTAACCATTTATAGACTTTTACTTATATTCTTTTCCTAACTTACATTTTATATGATCTGGAGAATAAATAAGTGAATTCTTTTTAATTGCATTAGAAGCAGTACCAAAAACAAAGGATTTCCGTTGTGTTTCGACGACAAATAAATTCAGTATGTCATCATTCGAAGAAATCTGAAAAATTTAAAATAATAAAATAAATATTTGAATAACAAATTATATTCAAAGCAATACAGCGCCACTGATCTTTGCAAATAAACTTTTGGCTTGTTTTTTATTACGAGATAAATTATTTATTAAATAATTATTAACAAAAGAGGTTTAATGAATACAACGTAATTTTCTGACACCATATATATTAAATAGAACAACTCTTAGCAGATTTATTTATTTAAACGTGATAAATTGAATGAGTTTGTATGGGTTTTGATCACTCCACGTTTGATATGCTAACAATATAAGTTCGTTCTATTAAATATAGATGGTATCATAAAACATCATAAAATTACGTTCTATTTCAGAAAACTTCTTTTGTTAATAATTTTTCAATAAATATGAGCGATGACTAAAACTTTTTTCTTACTCAGGACAATTAGCCTTGGTAATATATATATATATATATATATCAAGGTCAAGACAATAGGATCTGATTAATAACACAAATCTAAATATTTATCAAACGTATATCAATAATAAAAATTTATCAATATCAATAATGAGAAAAACAACCTCATAGAAGATATACGCTGCAAGAAATGTAACAAAACCTGTTTTTGACCACAGCATCACATCATTATACCAAAGAGATACTATTTGATTTGTTATTAAGTACGACACTTTGAATTTATGCCCAACGGGATATAAGTCTTCGTCATGAAGAATATCAACTTCGCTGAAAAATGATTTCAAATATGAAAAGTTCGTCGACAATATTTGCGGTAATTAAACAATTTAATAGGTCGCCATATTGTAGATGTAAGAAATTAATACAAAGCCACGAATAAATTTTTTAGAACTTTTTTTTTGCAAGAAATATATTTAAGATTTTTTTAACTAAATCTCATAACAAAAGTGACTTTTGCTGTTATGTACTTTTATTCAACAATGTAATTTATTTTGTCTATGAAACGGTATAATATTATCTGTTTACTTAATTTACATTGTTATGTACAGATTTTATTTTAAAAGGCTAGAAAAGAGAAATATTGTACACTTTGCATAAATAACTTCACGGATAAAAAAGAACATTAGAATTTGGAAGACAAGAACTTTGATAAATTCGGACAAAATAACTGATATAATAAAAGCTCTTATTGCAGTCGCTTTATATGTACAACTTATAGCACACAGTCATTTTTCATGCTTCTAAAGCTAAAATAAAATCTGAATTGACAAAAAAAATGATTATTTCTAATTTTAATCTAAACTAAAAGTAATGATATTTTCTTAATGTGATGCAAGTGAAATTGTATAGATTTCAACTGTTTCCTAATTTATACATTGTGACAAAAAAGTATGTATATTTTTCAGTTTTAAAATTATATTATTCGATAGTTTTTAATTTTTTATTTAATAATTATTTTTAATTAATTTATCTTAGTTTCGAATATTACCTTTGTAAAATCAGTCCCCATGTCTCTACACTGTTATTATGTTGAGTATCCCAAAATACAACATAGTTTATTTTTGGTATTTTGGCTATTGCACTATTTTCAAGTTTCAAAAAGCGTAGGACTTGTTCGCTAATACATTGCGCTAAGTGTAAATAGTTTATTGTGTCTTTTCTACTCCACAATGTGACATATCCAGCCAAAGTAGAAATTTTAGTGAATGTAGTTATTACAATCTTTATATGTTTAATGGACATTAAAGATGATTTTTCAAAATGTGTCCACATCATATCATGTTTGTCATCATTTTCTGTCGTTTGTACAGGCATATTTGATAAGACAGTGTAATTTTTATGATGTTTGATGGAAATTTTAAAGGTGGAATTAAGTGCTATCTCGTCCCAGCATGGGAATAGTTGTTGAGCAGTCATTACATCAAGACCTGTCGCATTTAACCTATCATATTTTAGCAATATGGTAAATATAAAATTTTAAATATAATTATATTCAAGGATCGACTAAGGATAAACTATAAAGGATAGACTAGAAGTGTTGGATTTCATAAAAATTGAATCATTGTTTATAACACTGTACAGAATTTTTCGAATGTACCAATTTGACATATATTTCTACATCTTAAAATCGACAAATTTGAAATGTAGTGTTGAATTTATTTCAGTACTATTATGACTATTTTATGAAATATGCAATTCTCGAGATGTCATCCCGGGATGTCATCCGGTTTATGAATGTACTTAATAAATGTATTTTGAAAAGAATATTGGCGAAAATAGTCTTTATATTTAATTTTGTTTCAAATATTTTTTTACTTACATATTGTTCTTCCATATTGTTTCATTAGAGTGTGAAGATGCAGAGAAGTGTTTCTTGTCATTATTTATGTGACGTATATATGCTATTTGTAGAGTGTATCTTCCAGGTGATAAAAATTTCGCAAGTTTTGGCGTGTTAGAAAAATCAATCATAAGCTTGTTTAGTTTATTATTAAATGAATATTTTGGAATATTAATTTGTTCTTTAGAAAGGTTGTCATACAAATCAATTTGAAATATAGCGAAAATCACTGGATGCATAGATATCTTCTTTGTTCGACGATTAATAAGTATAGTTATATTACATTCACCAATAATGTCATTTGTTTCGTAACTAAATCTTATTTTGGCATCATAATGCACTGGTGTTATAACCGGTGCTAAATCTGGTAAATGAACTGGAGTCTCAATTTTAGGAACGGCAGCAGTGCAAAGTGCCATTGTAGCGATTAACATTATTTCGCCATTTGTTAAAAGTATTCGGAATATCATATTCATTTTTCTTTATGTAGAAAAAAATTTCTGAAAAAAGTATTTGTTGGCAATAAAACATATACATTTGCAACACATAATTCTTCATTTTTATATAACAGAAAAAGGCATATAATAACAATTTATAAAAAATTTTAACACTAAAAAAAGATATAGAAAAAACCATGATACACTGAGAGAAAAAGTGTAGTGATATTTTGGACTATAATTGCATGATATTATAATTACAGTCACGATACTCAATTTTTAGGAATTGTTAGTATAATGTTAGCAATAATAATTTTATACATATAGTATATTGCCAAACATATAGTCAATCATATAGTTAGAACATTTGAAAAAACATGGTTGACGCTAAAAAATACTATTGATTATAGTTTCTGCTATTATTCTTTTCTTACAGTGTAAGATATGTAGCGAAAGAAACGTGAAAATGTAAAATTGATAACATATTTCTGATAGTGTTTAAAAAGATAGTAATATTTTATGTATATATATGAGTAATTTTCTGTATAAAGTGTTATCAAAAACATGTGAAATATTTATAAAAATGTCTTTTCAAAATACAAAAATAAAAAGAAGACGAAATTATAACTGAAAGTGCTAGTAATCCGAGATACATTAAAATATTTAAATATTATTTTTTTAATCAGTTATATCTATTCTCAAATACACGTAAGCTAGTTGCGAGCGCAACCCACGGACAGTTAATTTTCACTTTGCAGAAATGATAATTAATCATTACATATGAAGACACTCATGGTATACAAAATGAAAAATAAAAGAGTGAAAAGAAATTCGTGATACAATTACTTATTCAGAAAGAAATTTGAAAATAAAATTGTATCTATCATGTTTTATAAATTTTTCTATATTTGCGAATTACAAATCTTTTGCTTTTAGTTACTTACCTACATATAATAAAATTGTCAATTAAAATTGCTACGTAAATATGTACAATTTTGTAAGAATAATACAGTTCACATCGCCTTACACACAAATCGTAAATGTCGAAGCTATATAAATCGAGCTGCGATTCAGTTAGCTCCGAGAAGTCTCCAAATACTAAGAAGCATATTCGTAACTGATATAATATATATGTTGTCACAAAAACAGTTGCTAAGAGGTTATTCAACAGGAAAACACTTCACTAGTTGACAGAAGAGCGCAGAAATTTAAGTACATAATCAGTTAAATATGCGTATAGAAACCAAATTTGTACAGTTTTTAATTCCTGACAAACCAAATTGTTAAATAATGTTTATAAATTTATAAAAAGTATTTATTCTTGCGTAAAATTGTATTTAGTTATTATGCAATCAGACATTTGGGATTGTAAATCTATATATTATAAATCTATTATTTGTAATAATTGCTATAATATCTGTTAAAAATTTTTGTTTGATATTAAAATGACTGTTATATTTTAGTCTAAGATATTATGTTGAAATGTTTAATTTATTTTTGTACTATTACTTTTGCGCAATTAGCTACGCCATAAACGAAGTAAACTATACTTTATTTAAATGGAAGAAAAGATGATTCAACGAAACAGACAATGGATTCGTAATGTCTGACAAATAGTATGTATTTTTAATTAGCAGGTGTCAGAGCGAGAATAGAAAACATGAAAAAACATAAGATTCGATAGATGTATTAAGCATATATTTGTATAATCTGATATATGCTTATGTGACATACATTATTCATAAAATGATGTTTATATTAATTTTACTACATCAATATCTCCAATATTATTAACTTCTTTAAATGCAATTAATATTGATATGTATGTATATTATTACTAGCACCCTATTACATGTCTTATCTGAAGGTTGTACTATTACATGTCTTATGTAAAGAGTGATAATCATTTTCTTATCTTGGTGCCTGTCCGTGGTAGTTATCGTTATACGCTATTGTGGAGTTAAAGAGCAATTTGGCTCTTTGAAGGATATCGATCAAGTAAACAAATGTTGACAGTGTTGGTAGATTAACAGCAACTTTGATCAAATCTGTTCGTAAATTTGTCCAAACCATAATAAAAGATGCATTAAGTCCAAAAATGCAAAAGTGTGCAACGAAATATTCGGTTCTAATCTTTAATAGCTATAATTATGTTGCTAATTAATTTTTTTACTAGTAAATCTGAGAATCTTGTACTGTTTATTTCAAATTTGCTCATAGTTTTCAAATATCGTGTGGCGCGCGCGCGCGTGTGTGTTTGTGTTTTATTATATTATTTGTATTTTATTAATTGAGAAAAATTTATCAACGCTAAAACTAATTGTAAAAAAAAGTTTTCCTTTTTTTATAAATAATTATTTCTTAATAAGTAACATTATGTATGTATAATATAATTCGCAAATGCTAATCTTTTCTTTGTTATCGCATTTGTTATCGCAATTCAACAACGACAGCTGCATAAATTTGAACTTTGCACAGCATTAATATATGTATATAAAATATATTCAATAGCAATTACATTTTGTATTTTTGCTCGAATGTCAATCTGAATGACACTGCGAAATTTTAATATTAACAATCTTGATAATTGTATCTTCAAACTTTCAAGTTTACATCCATTAATTTTTATTTCAAAATCCTGTATCGTGTGAATCCTACACGCGGTGATAAAGTAATAAAAAAAAATAGGTGATAAGTTCGTATAATAAGTAAACCGCTGTGATCTATTTACATTTGATGTGCGTGATTAAATATTTGTCCTTGTGTGCTCTTTATTTAATTTCTTATCTACCAACAGGTAGATAAAGCATGTGTGTTGAGTCATGCTGGGGATAATTAGTGCATAAAGAGTTTCAGTTAAGAAAACAACTTGCGTGATATAGGTAGGTTTTTTGCCATCAATGTTAATCCATATTTTGTTAAATATAACATAATTATATGTATTTAAAATGTACGAAATATGCAAGAAATTCCAGCTAATAAGTGAATCATTATTATATAAGTAAATTTATTATTGAATTCGATTATTTGCATTCCAGGAAATGTATTATAATATATTATAATGTAATACATTATATGTAACAATCACGTTAAAGCATTCAGTCTGATTATTCTCACTTTTTTCTTGCTTGTTTCTTTTTGTCTTTTAATCGTTAAAGTATTTGTTTTCCTTTTGTTTAATCCTAGAATAAAATAAATTAATAGTAAATTTATTTTAGCGTAACTTTTTATATTACACATTATTATTCTTTCCTTCACAAAACGTGAGTATGCACTTTATAATACTTTATAATATCAATATTTACTCTCTGTTATTTTATATAAACGCAGAAAAGGCACAAAAATATAAGTAATAAAAAAGACATTCTATGTAATAAAAGACATAGAATATCTTTTTTATACTATATAGTGCCTACATGCAACATACGATTATTTATTATTAGAATACTCTTATCTTGTTTTTTGAGCTCCTATTCTAAGTCGTGCCTCAGTCGTTAAAGACGTTAGAAGGGATCAGTGACATAGCGAGGTAACGGATATGCATATATGTATAATTATGTACTTGAGTAGGAGCGAAAAAGAGGGAGAAAAAAAATGCAAGATAATTATACAAACGAAAGTTGCAAACTCATAATATTACTTGAAGCCTCAGTTAATAGTTCACGATACGAAAACGGTTAAGAAGAAAGATAAGATAGTACTAATTACATAAGTCACGTTGAGTTAACACGCTAGACAACAGTGCATAACCTCTCTATTAACACGGACAATAGCAAAACTGACGATTTTTGTGTCTACAACACACTGCAATTTTACAAGATTTCAGTTTTACAAGTGAAAGTACAATGTCGACTGCTGAGAAATTGATAATGGATTTGCCGAGTGGACCATTGGATGTTTATAGAAAACGAGCGACATTTGATTGGAAATCGTTCAAATTGGCTCTGGAGGGAGAAGATGACATACGATTTCAGGTATTAAAGTTGATTAATTCTATCTAAATCTGTCGAATATATTACTTAAGTGTAATGTTCATTAAATCACTTAATTTATGTTTAGAAAAAACTATGGGGACTTGTCAAGACACATCCAGCATTCCAAAGGTCAACACGACAATTAACTTTGGATGAACTTCGACAACGCTGCAATGCTCAAATACAAGCTCTTTATACGAACGACCTAGATGTAATTATAATCATTAATTAATAATTATATGATCAATGATATAAGAATTATTTTGTAGATTTTTAATATTTATATGGAAGTGTTTTAAGCGATATTAGAATTTCTACGCTCATAATCTAATCTTTTTAGCCAGTGCATGGTCGCAAAAATTTTCTTTATGTCGTCCAACTTGATGGGTCTTTGTCAGTAAAAATGGGTGTTTTATATGGCATGGTACCAAATACATTATTAGTACTGGGTACCGAGCAACATCATCAAATGGTAGCAGAATTTGGCATTCAAAATGTACGTATGAGTGTAATGTAGCGATGTGTCACTATACGATGACAAGGAGCATAATATTTATTGATGTTAATTGTTTAGTATATTGGCTGTTTTGCTCTGACTGAAATTTCCCACGGGACCAATGCAAAAGGCATGCGGACCACAGCAACATATGATATAGCGACAAGAAGTTTTATTCTTCATACACCTGATTTTGAAGCTGCAAAATGCTGGTCGGGTGGTTTAGGTAAGTTTTGACGAATGAAGATTTCAGTATAGGTTAAATAACATCGGTGCATCCGTCTCTTTGTGTGTTTTCAGGGAAAAGTTCTACACACGCTCTCATATTTGCACAACTAATTACACCAGACGGAGTAAATCACGGTCTGCACCCTTTTATCGTGCCAATCCGCAACCCCAGTACTCATCTGCCTTTCCTCGGTGTCACTGTTGGCGATATGGGTGAAAAGATAGGACTTAATGGAGTGGACAATGGATTTCTCATTTTCAACAAGTATTCCGTATCGCACTCCTGTTTGTTAAATCGCACAGCGGATGTTACAGAAGATGGGAAGTATGTGCTTGCCTTGAAGGACGAAAGAAAAAGATTTGGTGAGCATTAGCTCGGCATTTGTACATCAGAAATGATAAGTTGATGTTACGTCTGATTCTCATTGACATTTTGATCTTTATTTACATACAGGGTCATCGTTGGGTGCATTGTCAAGAGGCCGTGTCACAATTACCGTAATGTGCGCGCATTACATGACGCTTGCGCTGACGATCGCCATACGTTACTGTTCGGTTAGGAAACAATTTGGCCCCACGGAAGAGAATGAATTGCCAGTTATAGAATACCAGTCTCAAGTACGTGTAGTAGGATTTTTTTTTCTAGTAAAAAAAAAACAGGAATTTTACAATTTATGTGAAACTTGTACATTTTCAGCAATGGCGACTCTTTCCTCATTTGGCCGAGATGTACGCCATAAAGATATTTTCGAATCATTTCTGTAATATAATAATGGAACTTGACAATAATACGTTGGAGGAAAATGAAAACTCTAATGCCGATGCAGGAATGGAGATTCACGCGCTGTCTTCGGCGACGAAACCGTTATGCTCGTGGATTGCTCGCGATGCAATTCAGGACTGCAGAGAATCCTGTGGCGGTCACGGATACTTAAAAAGTAAATACAAGATCTCGTGCGTTTATGCTCCGTACAATTTTAATCATATTTTCACCATGTCATTTTGCTATTAGTGTCGCGCTTGGGCGACATAAGAGCAGAAAACGATGCTAACTGCACATACGAGGGTGAAAACAATGTCCTCATTCAACAAGCGAGTAATTGGTTGTTGAGCCAATGGGCTAATGTGATCAACGGCCGATTCGTATCATCCCCGCTCGGTTCCGTGGATTTTCTCAATGACGCTGAACGAATACTTAATACCAAATTTAATCAAATTACAATGCAGGATACATTGAGACCTGAGAGTATGATACAGATAATCTTTCACTACAATAAAATATATTGCTAAAAGTTATTGGCTTGATTACTTGCGATTACTTTCTTTATTCCAGATCTGATGCTGGCGTTGAGATGGCTGGTATGCTATTACTTGAAGAAGACGTACCAGCGTGTGGAAGTCTTGAAATCGAACAACGCGTCTGATTTTGACGCAAAGAACAATTCCCAGTCATTTTTGGCACGGACCTTATCCCTTGTATATGGAGAAGTATGAACAAGATATATGTACATGATATTTCAATTGGAATAGAGAGAGTAATCAGTTGTCACATGTCTCGTACAGCTCGTATTGAATTAGAAAAATTATAACAGTAAACTTAATTTAGGTTTTACAATACAACACTTTCTCTCTACGAAGTGAATTCTCGCAATGCTGGAACAGAAGCTAACGCAGCTAACTTCATCTTTCTTTGCAGCACTTTCTAATGGCATATTTTATTAAATATTTGCAAGATCCAAAGTGGAAAGCGAATGAACGCAAAGTATTAATAGAGTTATGTACTCTATTCGGAGCTGTAACGTTGGAAAAGAGAGTTGGGGATTTATACGAGGGTGGTTATGTTTTTCCTAACAGCAACATAACTAGCTTCTTGCGAGAAGGAATTATAATACTGTGCAAAAGCTTGGTCGATAATGCGGTTGCGCTGACTGACGCCGTGGCACCGCCGGACTTTGTTATCAATTCTCCTCTAGGAATGTCCGATGGCGAGGTATCTGTTATTGATTACTTTATGCCAAGTCATTCGCGTGTGATAATAACTTTTTTCCCCTCCATACAAGTGTAATAAATTGAAAACACTTCTATCTAGGTATACGAGCATATGAGAAAGTGGTTCTTCGAGAATAAAGAGAACTTTGAACGTGCATCTTGGTGGAATGAACTTCGACCCAAGTTGTAAATAGAGTATAAATATTGCAGTTATGAAGAAGCTGAAGATTATTCTCGTCTGTGGGTGAGGTGATACCTCTTGTCTGTAGGTTTTAGGTTGGAATAATTTCGAGATATATAAACAAATGTACGATATTACATACAAGTTCGTATCATTCGGTTTACAGGGCTGTGTAAATGGATAATAGAGAAACATTCTTAAAATGTTTTGAAAAAATACCAAACATTTTATTATATAAACTGTTTCGATGCCTCGATATTAACTAGTATAGTTTGAATATTATTGGATTCATAATGCAATATTATATTCACTAATACTAATTGTTATATTTTTCTACTTTTAAAGTTTTTATATTTGAAAAGGCGTGCATTTTTATATATACATTATTACGAAGCTTTCTAGATTCGGTTGTTGATATATATATATATTTTTTATATACTCTGATATATAATATAGTTATTATATATAACCAATATATTTTTTAATATGTATTCTATTAAATAACAATACAAAAAATTGTTATCAAAACTTTTGTCCGTTTTCTTCCTTGAACATGAAAAAAAAAATCGCGGGCAAGATTTTTTAAAAGAAATTCTTCGAACGCAAATGTAAAAATAAAAAAATTTTACTAATGTTTCTACAAACATTCTTTACATTACAATTCTGTATGTTTTGGCGGTTTTGGTAAAGCACTGTCAGCCTCCGCGAACCATTCATCGTATACAGCTTCAGGTTCAACCATCCAAAATTTGTGGAATGATATAGGCTCCTGAGATGCCAAATAAGCGGTAGCGTAATCCGCAGGTCGCGCCTAAAATAATCGTCCAACAATAAATTACTTTAATTATCACATGAAATTGGAGCTGCACGAGTTGTTTAAGTTACATGTACAAAGTCTAACTAAAAATTATCGCACGTACCTGATGGAACATCGAAGAATGTACAGGTTCCACCCCGAGTCGCAGCAAACAAATCCCGAACAGATACATGTCGTCGGGAGTGGTCGCGGATGGACAATCGCACACTCCCGGTTCTATCATTTGGTGAACCAAGGGAGCTGATAGTGCGATTCCCGCACCACCAGTCAAGTACTGATATCCATGATGACTGTCCCACATGCGAAAACCATAACGTTCGCCAATCACGACCGGGTGCTTAGGATTGTAGCACGTGAGCAGGCGTAATAAACGCACCACACTGCGATACATTAATATACATTGTCATTTTCTATGAATGTGGTTGATTAAATAAAGAATTTATTTCTAAATCACCTTACATTCATATTATTTTGCAATCTAATTTTAACGATTTGAAAAAAAGTCAATTTTACCTGAATATAGTGTCGTCGTCACTGATGACAAGCCAATGAAAATTATTTCTTTCTAATATACTACTGGCTTTCTGCAAGATGGCGTAAGTTTTGGCGCAATGCCCCTTGGTAGTATTTGAGACGACGTATGCCTCCCGCAAATTTTTGTCTATACTAGAACAATGTAATGATTCATGTGTGAGGACTGTAAATATTTTAAAAACGCATCTAACTTCATAGATCAAGCATACCTGCTACGTCGCTGAAATATCCGATGTTCACCGCGTGCTTTGCCCATGAATTTTTAATCGCTGGGATTCTCTCTAGATGATATTTAGCGCAAGTCTTAACAGCAAAATACACATTTTCTGGAGATATGGAAGAACTCTGAAATTATTAAAAAATATTTATAATATTACACTTCGACGACGGAGTTCATTTTTGACTAATTTAGAAAATTGTTAAATGTTACTGTTATTAATGAGAAAATTATACTGTAACATACGCAAGGATGAAAGAATCTGGGATATGTGGCACAATCAGAACCAGATACAATGCATAATTTAGATATATGCATCAATCTTATGTTTGCGCTCTTCAAAACAAAGCTCGCAAATTCATACGACGCATCGATGGCAAAATCTGCCTTTGAATCATTGCCCTCAGAGATTTGTTGAGATAAACTGAAATATAAAATTCTTAATCTTCAATTGAAGACACAAACTGTAGATATTTTCACACTTATTTCCAGAAAATGATATGCCAGTACTAATCTTGTAAGACAAAAAATTTGTGGAAAAGTAGTTCTTGAAATTTTAATTTTATGACTTGTAATGCTTGTTTATTCCTCAATTATTTACTTATGATTATTTTAATAACTGTATGATATAAAAATTGAATATACTCTTTTAACAGCTTCAATGTCATGGCAAATCCAGATGCAAAATGTGGATATTTAAACTTCTTAGTGTGTTCTGCAAAATGATGAATAATAGTGGGTTTATGATCATAAAGTGCGTGTCCAATCCATACATCCTGCACAAATAAATCATGTAAAGTGTGAATATTTGTGGAAAAGGATGATAAAAGATACCAACTTGAGAAACTCACCTGAGATGCACTAAATTTTTCCAAAACATTCAACAGTTTCTCTAATCGAATCACAGTATTTTCCAAACAAAAGAAAAACCATTTTGCATTTGAATATGTATTTGATAAATGAGTCAATAATGGAGTTATAGTCCAGGAACCTTTGACATCCAGTTCAGAAGACACTAAGACCGTTGGTGGTTCCTAAAATATAAAGAGAATATGATATATAATGAAACAAGTTAATAAAACAAAGGAATAATTTTATCGCAACATACTTTGTCAAGAGCACTAGCTTGTTCATAGATGCCTTTTCGCAGATAATCAGCATGGGCTGCATGATAGCCTTCCTTTTGACTTAATATAATTATCACCATGTCATGAGGTTCTAAAAATGTTCTTGTTAGGACTCTTGTAACACACATGCATTTAGTTTAATATTCAAAATAAAAAAAAAATGTGAAATGATGACTGCAAGATATAACATTTCCAGTACTAGATATAAAAAAGCTTGTCTTGCAAATTTTTTCATATAATAATTTGCAAGCTAATTTATTTGCTGTTTTCTATACCAGCTAAATTACATAAAATGACACAAATTTAAGTCAAAAATTTAATCAATACAATGCTGTTCATTCAAAAAATAATAAATATGGTTAAAATATATTTGAGAAGTACCTATCACATCTGCATTTGCATTCATGATGAATAGGAGATGAATGAATAGAATAAATTTTCTTAACAATCCCATTTTCTGCCTAATTGTATTTGAACAGTAAAGCAAAATGATAATTTCACTTCTTTACATAGTATTGGTTCTCATGTCAAGATCAAGTATGAATGTTTTCAAACTCAACACACTCAACACAATCGCTCATTCAATATGATTCAATACTATTCAACAGATTGTCTGACAGAAAATATTTGCTCAACAGTTTGCACAACAGTTGTGTTTTCTTCAACTAGCTAAGGAAGAACGTTAGAGACAAGAGATCAATTTTGTTGAAAACAGAAGGACTGCTTTTCCGAGGTGCTTCAATTCATAATGCACGTTTGGTGTTAAAGTTAATTAATAATAATAATAATAATGAGTACACTTTACACACTTTGAACTGTACTGTGATAATGCGCGTTACGTATATACTATATATTATATGCATGTAGATCCTATTTGCAATTAAATTAACGAGTCATTAGGTAAGCCAGATACAATGTTCAGGCATTTTTACACATGGGACTTATCAGTTATCTTCAGTGTCTGTTTCGCATTAGAGGAATATAACACTCCTAGAGGACGTGATTAAGGTTAGTATAACCTCAATTGTTTACGTCTCCATATACTTGCTCACATTCTATACACTTTTCCTTTACATTTTATTGCAGATGCATATGTGGTACTGGTTCGGCGTAGATCTAGGTAGCTTCCTATTTCCAGGTTACAACGTTACAACAGTATGGGGTCTTGTGGCGACATGCTTAGGCCTCGCTGCACTAGCAGTGATATACGAGGCCATGAAGATCTCTCAGATTCATTTACAACAGATTACAATTAAATCTGTCTCTAGGACTAATTCAACTACCTCTGAGAGCTCATCGCTTTTATTCAAAGTGACACCAAAGAATCTTAGGGCTTACACCAAATGGTACTTCATTTCTCACAATTATCTCTTTGAAACGATGCATAGAGTCCAAGTGTTTAAAGTTCTTATTTAAATTACACGTATAATATTTCTTCTTTGAATGTGCTTGACATATTGCATAAATGCAGCAATAATAATTTTTATAAGTGCAAAACTTTTTATTATTGTCATTCTTGCAGCTCTTTTTATATTGATTTGTTTTTAAATTTAAAGAGCGATACATTTTTCACGCATATTTCTATCTCTAGTTGATGGTATATATATTTTCAGTGGCACCTGTTGCTCATGGATATTGCAAGTACTGCACTGGTCTCTTCATACTCTACTCGGTTATATTTTAATGATGGCAGTTATGACATTCAACGCATACATCACTATCGCTCTTGTGATAGGAGGATGCATCGGATACTGGATATTTGGTTCAACTCTTGTAGACTTAAATATGCAACAATTTTACCGCAAACGAGCAATCGTGGAATGTGACAAGAATTGTGAAGGTATTTTACATTAATTTTTTATTATTTTCATTGAAAATGAAAAGGATTATTGTTTTAATCCTACTATCCTAATTGCTTGTAGATGTTTTTACGAATCGACAAAGACAAGGGTCTGCTGTCTCTATCATTGCAGAACAATTAGTCACTGAGGCAAATATCGAAGTTCACGTATCGGCAAATGCGATAAATACATGAATTTTAACACGAAATTTGACAATGGAAAGTTCTGATATCTCTAGAATAATCGTTATTGTTATCGATATCACATATTTCTATACGAATATATATCTATAAATATAAAAAATATTACAAATTTTTACTTATACATTGTATATTTTTATACTGTTACTTTATTTTAAATAACATGCAATAAAAATTGAAGACAGTATGCTCATGTAACATTTATTTTTTTGAAAAAATAAAAAATACACATACATGTCTATTTTTTTGTACAAAATTCAGCATATACATTTACAAATGCAAATATGTACATGAGATTATCATGATATTAATGATTCACAAAACTCAAACTAATATTTTTTTACAATAAATTGGCGAGATGCTTGCCGATAAAAAAAAGTACCCATTTAAAATTTTTAAATTTTATAAATGTTCTTTGTTGTTATTGATTCCTTGTTAGTAATTAATAATACAATATACCACAATCTCAATCAAATTTAGTAATTAATAACACAATATATCACAATCTCAAAAAATATCAATAAAAAAATCCTAATTGAACCTTCGTTATGTCGATCAAAAACTTATCGAAAACATATCTAATTCAAGTCCAATGCATATTCAAGCCAGATTATATTTTGTATTATATCATCATTGTCATCGTTCTCCATGTTCTCGAACAAACGTCCGAAACACAAATTGTTAACGTTGGTGAAGTGCTCATATGCATTCATCGAGGTAATCCATTCACCGCACAGCCAGCAGAAGCAACATTGACAGTGTTGACACGTCATTTTGTTACAGCCATCGGTTTTACTAATGAAACTGCGGCATTTCGGACAGCTTTTCGCGTTGTCCTGAATAAAATCACAATTATCGTTATCGGAATAATGCTTTCTAAAGTTCTCTTTGTTTTTTAATCTAATCTAATTGTCAATTTTCTTATCCGTTTCTCGTCTGCCTCGCGTAATTTGTAATACATACTTTTAGATAATCAGTTGTAAGACGTTTCTCAACCAATTGCATTTGTCGTCTACCGTACTTCTTCTCCAACAGCTTCTTCTTTTTATCATCGCTGTTCTTATACTCTTTTACAAGTTCCTTAATATGATCCGACGTCATCTCGCATGGCGCAGTTCCGTGGTACACCTGTTTGCACAATAGTCTGTGATACAATATCTAACGTGTAAGAACATCTAACAAATATCTATAAATATTTTCCATTACCTTACGGCAATATATGCAGAAACAATTGTTGCAGTTAGGACAAATGGGCGCAGTGTCGCTAAGATCCCTGATAACCGGATACTGACAAGAAATTTTTGGACAATATATCACATCGTTCATAGTGTCCAACGCTACTCGCACCATGAGTTCTTCATATCGTGGAAATATGCTCGGACAGAGGATCTTAATGTCATTGGCATGTACTTTACATTTGCAATCTAACGTTGGACACGATATAATCTTCACGTACTCGCCAAGCTTGGTACGCACATATTCTTGCATACAGCTCTTGCAGTAAACGTGCCCACAATTCTTCAATTCTATACACTTTAGCCCCTTATACTTCTCAAAGCATATGTCACAAGTGAAATCTTTCTTGTTAAATTGCGTTAAGTGTTGCTCTCTGTCGTAATTCATTAACAATTTCTTTATATTCAAGGATAAGGCACCATTTATGGCTCTGAGATCTGACAATGAGTGGAACGTTGAGAGATTGTCCAACTTTGTGTAAATTGTATTCATGAAGGAAACGTCTAAGATTGTTCGTATATCAAGCAAATCAAAGACACCATGTTTCAAAAATTCTATCCAATGAAAGAGGATTTCATTGTTCTTATTCTCTTCCCATATTTCATCTAATTTCTGGCAAATAAAAGATATCTTCCAAAGGGGTAGCCAAGTAATGGACAAGAAAAAATTTGGTGCCTTTTGAGATGGATACAAATCAGGCAGAGAAATGTATAATTTGATTGGAGGCAAGTATTCAACAAATATTTTATCGTTAATATCAGAGGTTGTATTAAACGAAGTGTAGTCGGCAAAATTCACTTCTAATTTCTTAGAAAAATATGGAAACACGCTAATTGTGCACTTTATCTGCTCTCCTTTTGTGGAGAAGAATTCGTTCTCATCGTAGACGTTGGACAGAGCAGTCACCTCATCCTCTTGTCGTTCACGATTGCTTATAATTGTGTGAGACATTTTAAATTGCAAGATGTCTTGAAGATATCTTTAACAAAATTCTTCACAAAAATCTTCATATAAAGTACTCATTAATTTTTGTTCACAAAAGATACTCAAAATACACATATATATATTTACATACAGAAAAAAAGCATCACTGTGCACTAAAATTGCTCTAATATTTCTTTCTGGTATCCGTTATGTCAACATTGTTAGTGAAAATCGAAATAATAAACTTTAAAAAAATATAAACACAGTACTTGTACTTGATAATTTCTTGAAAAAATCATAATAATATGTTTGTACTTTAATTTTTTTGTTGCAATATTTTCTTGGCAGTTTCAACAATTTTTTCAAAATATTGCCAATACTGCCACTTTATTTAATAACTTTTCGAGTTAGATTAGATAGATCACCAGATGGCATCTGTCAAACTCATGTTTGGTTTAATGTGTCTAATGTTTTCCTTTATGCCATAACTAGACCGGAAAATGATCCTACTTGTGGCTCATTCGAGTGCATAGTTTGACAGACCGACCGAATCGATTTAATTGGATAAAAAAAATTATTTGATATGGTTAATACGATTGGAAGTCAACTTTAATATGTTTAATATTTAATTTTAACCTGTCAAACTATGCACTCAGATAAGTCACAAGTAGGATCATCCTCCGATCTAATTAGGGCATTAAGCCCAATCTATAATATGCTTTTTGATTTTTGTTCTCTGTCTTTTTGCCTTTTTATAAAGGCATACTTTTCTTCGAAAATTCAGAAAGGAAAAATTGTAAATCACGGTGTTTCCTGACTCTACGCGACAAATACATAAAAAGCAAAAATATGAAAGACAGAGAGAAAAGAAATGTGATCAAAGGTCTGTTCTTTATAGCTGAACTATCTGCACTAGTTCAGTCCAGTTTCTGATCAAATCAAAGCTGCAGAATTTCTAATAAATTTTCTAATTGCTATGAGCAGCCCCTAGTAAACCACTAGAAATGCACTATACAGCACACGGTATTTCTAGTAATTTATTAGATCGCAAGTGATCTAGCAACTCGCACCGTGTGTCGCTAGCTTCATTCCATTCCAGTGATTAAATTCATATACACAGGTTATCACACAAATGTAAACAAAACCACGCTTCGAACACCTGTGCTAAGTTCGTGGCGGGAAAAATATTTATTATGCGCAGTTTGCGGTCAACATGATCACGTCGCGGTTAAAATAATAATCTATCTCATGAATTATATTTAGTTCGCATTTCACAACGCTTACTTTACTATAATTTTATTCATATTTAACACGTCACAATATCTTTATCGGAACTAAAAATCCGTGATAAAGCGGTAAGTTTAACCTTTTGCATTCCACGTGTCATCTCATGCGTAATTTGCATCTCTTTCTATTCACGAATTTCGAATGCCGGTACACGTGCAGCGTTACATGAGAGCTACTGTCACGATAACTGTAAGCGCAAATTGCGGTAAAAATGGAAAAAAAGAAGGTTTCTGTGAACTCAGTGGAAGCGGAGACAAATTTAATTTTGAAGTATAAAAGCATGCTGGAGTTTCCGGTCGATCGTAGTAAAAGATTCTCGGAGTGCCGCAACTTTCTTGTTCCTTAAATTATCTTTTTTTATTCGGACCTTCAAACCATTTTTATCTTTATTCCTTCCGGATCCTAAACAAATGATCTCTTCTATAATTGCAATAAACGTAGATTAGCCTGTTTTTGTGCATAACGTGCACTTTCTCTTCAATAAAACCTTTTCCCTTCAATAAAACCTTTTTCCTTCAATAAAACCTTCCACCTCTACGAAATACCTAAAGCACTTGGAACGAAGATCCATCTCATCAGTTCAGTTCTCGATCACAGCTCGAACCAGCAACACCTGATAAAGACTTTTCCACAAACGTATCCTGATTAGTTCAAAATTATCTATTACGTGGCTTCTCGCACGTAACAGTGCGCAGGGTTAAAGTAAAAAACGACGAGGCAGCGTAAAACATTGAAAGTCTTTCCTAGAATTGCCTCTAAGAAATTCATAGATATATAATTATATGAATATATATTCATAAATAATTCTAATGTAATAGCAAACGTTTGATTGTGTTGCATGGTTTTCAACAGAAAATGTTCCAAGTATTATAAAAATGCACAATTGTGTGAGAGTCGTGCACTTTGACATGTGTGCACTTTGATATACATCGCCGTTTATCGCTTTTTATACGGTTGCATAATAGTGGATCTCAATGTTTACTCTGCTGAAGAAAATGATGCAGAATGAATTGCTGGGCCGTTCTGCTCTCATTGATGTATCCTATGAGGTAAATACGTTCAGCAATCATCATTGCCACTTAAAGCTATTTCACTAAGCATTATTAAGATTCCCAATATTTTTCTTAGAAAAGAAACGGTTTTAACAATGAATAATATCAAATTCTGGAAGAATCATTTAAGATAACATTTAATATTTCTAATTGTATTGTCGTTTTTTAATATTTGATATGTGTAAAACTGACTTGTGAAACTTAATATGTTTGCATTGTTTTACAAAGTTTGTAAAAATATCAGTTATTGAGAAAATAACATGTTTTTCTGTGTGCTGTTCTATTCAATAGAGAGAAATAAGTTGTACATAAGTAAATGCATGAAAATTATAAGTGGATATATAAAATGTGTTTATATTATTTTCACAGGAAGCGTTGAAAACATTAACTCTTTCTCTGCAAAGCAATGCTGCTTACTTGCAGTCTGTTCAGAATGTGAATGATCCTGCGAAGCTGAAGGAAACAGAAAAATACTTGCTTCGGTAAAGTCATTAATATTTTAATAATTATAAATTCAGAATTCAAACTGAAATTCATTTCCTTGATTATTACTATTTTATTTCTCAATTAACTGCTTCAAGAAATTCACTGAATGTAAAAGTTTAATTAAGATTTTACTTCTGACGTTGCAATTTCATATTCCTTTTCGCAGATCTGGCATTACTTTGGAGCAGCTGGACAGCTTGTCCGTCATTCACGTGGCTGGCACGAAGGGCAAGGGTTCGACATGCGCGTTCACAGAAGCGATTCTGCGGCAGCACGGCTTCAGCACGGGCTTTTTCAGCTCGCCGCACTTGGTCTCCGTGCGGGAACGCATCCGGTTGAACGGCGAGCCGATCAGTCGGTCGCACTTCACCCGCTCCTTCTGGAATGTCTACCGGAACCTCGAACGGAAGCGGGAATACGAATCGGACATGCCGACGTACTTCAGGTTCTTAACGATCCTCACGTTCCACGTGTTTCTGGAGGCGAACGTCGACGTGGCAATCGTCGAGGTCGGAATCGGCGGTGAACTGGACAGCACCAACGTCCTGCGGAATCCGGTCTGCGTCGGAGTGACGAGCCTGGCGCTGGAGCACACCGCGCTGCTGGGCAACACTCTGGAGGCGATCGCTCATCAGAAGTCCGGGATCTTCAAACCGCATGCGAGGGCCTTCACGGTGCCGCAAGCGGAATCGGCGATGCGCGTTCTGCGCGCACGAGCCGAGGAAAGACGGTGTCGCGACGAGCTGCGAGTGGTTCAGCCGGACGACAACAGGTGGAACGACGTCCTCACGTCGGCCGGCGTCGACGTCAACGGCATACAGCGACAAAACGCCCTGCTGTCGATCGACTTGGCGCACGAATGGATGAAGTCGCGGTGCGGCGCGCCGTCGTTAATCGCGGAGAATAAATACATCAACGGTTTTCACGCCGACATTAATAGCAACAAAGATTCAGCTCAAGTTATCTCTTCGGACAAGGTTGCGGTGGCGCTGGCGGACTGCAAATGGCCCGGTCGCACGCAGATTCTGCGGACCAGCGTGGCGGATTTCTTCCTAGACGGCGCTCACACCGTGGAGAGCATCGACAATTGTGTATTGTGGTTCAACCGGGCCAGCCGAAAAACCTCCACTAAGTTCCTAATATTCAATACCAGCGGCGACCGGGATTCTCAGGTATTACTGAAGCGGCTGAAACCTCTGAACTTCGATAAGGCTTACTTCACCCCCAATCAGTCAGGAGTGGCCAGTGTGGAGGACCTGAATGCCATGCTTTGTGCGGTGATTAGCAAGCAAATGGAGAAGTGTGAGAAACAATGCGAGTGGTGGGGCGAGGGCTCTGTGTTGAAGAAGAACGTCGCCGAAGTGCTCTGCGATATTAAAAGGTGTGCACCTCCACAGATCGATAAAGTGGAGATACTCGTGACGGGATCTTTGCATTTGATTGGCGTATTATTAACCATCCTTGATCCGGACCTGACAATGACCAGCGATTTTTAATGCAACGTAAAATGCAGTTGTAAAGTTCATTTTGCGCTTTCTTAGACTAAATATCTCATTTCATACTTTTCGAATTTTCTACATATGTTAACAATAGATTATATAACGAATTTCATTCTTCAGCTCTCTTTTATAATACAAATTTTTAAAGAGCTTATATTTTTTCTATAATTTTCTATAAAATGTTATAGTTGTGTAAAATTACAATTTTATACAATCTACACGATTGAGCCTGAATACAGTTATTCTAAAATAATCTTCTTGCGAGGAATCTAGAATCTGATAAATGTTAATACATGTACAAAAAATGTAATAGGAATTTGTAAATAATAATGGGTCTTTTTACTAAACCGTAAAATTATATATATTTAATATATAATATTTAATGGCAATAATTAATAACAATATTATTCGCTTATTATAATTATATAAGAACGACGTGTAACATGACTTCAGAGCGACGCGCTCCGATGAATACGTTTCTCACAATATTTACTTTTTGTACTTCAATACAGATTGATCGCCTGTATCGTGGAGTGCATCTCTGATTGTACAGTTGTATGTTTGCGAAGAAGCGTACATTTGTGCTAAATTTGTTTCATATTGGGCGAGTAATGTAGCATGAGATACAGTGCGTATCGTAAATGATTCTAAACAAGTATTCAAAAGATCTTTGGATGATATTCTAGTTCCGATTCCGCTTCAGTATCGGATAGACTAAGCGAAACACCAGTTCTTCGCCTCAGACGATTATCCTCAGGGCTCTACAATCAATTAAAATGTCATTATAATCCGAATTTATCGTATTTGCATAACTTTCAAACAAATGATTAATATTTTAGCTTAAATGAAACCAATTTCTTCCATAATTTAAAGAGCACTCCGATATGGATTGTCCATCTTTCTACGTTTAAAATCCGGTATTAAGAAAAATTACGTTAGGATGCGCAAGAAATATAAAAAATGAACAATTCAACAAGTAGGATATAATAAATTACCTGGTCTAAAATACCGGCAGTGGGTTCGGACGCGTATCCTACTTCCTGTGCGTCTTCTTCCAGATCCGCTTCGTATTCCTCGAGCTCGTCGGAATCGGAGTCTATGTCGAGATCGACGTATCGGTTGCCGCGCGAAACTTTACACACCATCTGCGCGAGATCGGTGAAAGTGTACGACGAGAGCGATTGCTGATTGGCCGCTTGGTTCTTCGCTCGCAGAGCTCGCGCATTCTCCCGATCCGCGTTGAATCGAGGCAGAACTCCGGCTTTCGACTGACCCTCGAAGTACGTTTTTCCTGGAGAACACGAATCCATTTCAGTTTCACGGACGCGTGCGCAGGTATTTCACTGTATAAATAGAGTGCATTTGTTTATGCAGTTACTGCCGCAGATGTCGTTCGTTTACTTCGCCTGCGAAAATAACTGCAGCGCAGTTTGTCGTTCGTTTACGCAGGGTTGTATTTCATCTGCGCAGGTACTTCGGAGGTCCTGCTCTGGATGCTCTGCTTGCAGTACTGCGTAAACGAATACACCCATTGCAAATCTAGCTTAATTATCCGCATCCACATTGATTAATTAAAATGTGAAAATAGATTTTATTAAAGTAAAAAATCAAAAAGGGGTAGAACAACTCCTCGAAATCGATCCCGCAAAAGTGAAAGTAATCCAAGATAAGTATTATATAATGGAAAAATTTTTTAAAGTTTACGATATTCGTATTTACAATCAAATTAACCTAAAAATGCACACGTATTGAATGTAGATTAAAAATCTAAACACATAAAATTCTAAACTGTCTGAATTTTCTATAAACAAATTTTGTAATGTTTTGGGATTTGTTTTTGTAAATTTATCTCAGTTACAGGTTCTGCTGCAATAGTTCCTAACCATGTAATGACTTCGTCTACAGCAGATATGGAAAAAGGATCAGAGAACTCTCAATTTAAGAATGTTTTGATCCCGTCTTCATTATTTTCGCAAAAATTTGTACAGACACAACGTAATGCAACTTCGCCAATGCTTTTAAATCCATTCACGCAGGTGTGTGTTCGGTAAATTAGGTAACGTGACTAGCAGATGATAAACGCAGTGGATGCGCTAACCGCTGCACAAACGAATGCACCCATAAGCTTGCACTCGGCATTGCAGCTGCGTGGGATTTGAATGTAAGAACGCGCAAAGTCCCTCACCGTGCTGGTAGCCCACGTCTTTGATCTCGTCGAAGTTGGCGAACTGCAGAGTTTTGTATTTGTCGATCGGCGGCCGGATGTACTCGCAGTAATCCGAGGTCTTCACCTCCTCCAGCTGGCGCACGCAGCTCACGTACGCCAATCTGGACTGGATGTCGGGTAAGTTCGGCACCTTCACGGGCGTGGCAAACGGATTCCACCGCTTCCACAGCAGCCACCAGCCGGACAGCGAGTCCCCGTAGTTCGTAAGATCCGTGTCGTCCTGCGAGCCCACGTCGATGGCCAGAATGTGATGCGCTCCTTGCCGCAGCATTTCGTCAGCTTAAACGGAAACGTGGTGAATGCATTAATCGAGAACGTTAACTCGTCAGAGGATCTAATTTGTAAGAGTGATAGAATTTTTTATTTCGTTCACAAAATGGATTCACGTATTTATATTTTAACTCCCGCTCATGTTTTCAGGCAATTTTAGAAACGTATCGTTGCGGATTACGCTAAGGAATGGCAAATCGAGAATAATGAAACAATGGAAAAGAGACAAATACCTGGCACGTTATTAACATAACACCCGTCGACCAAAAGATGCCCATCAAGGGGATCGCAAATCGGAGGGAAGACCCCCGCGATAGTCATGCTGCCGCGTATGTATCTCCATAGCAAACCTGAGCCGACTTGATTATTCAGAATTTGATGAATGCATCTTTTATCAACGGGAGTGAGCTTCAACGTTTCTTACGACATTCTATTTTCATTGCAGTAACGCGCGCAAATAAATCCTCAACGTTCTGCCAAAGTAAATATGAAGTGACACAAGGTCCCCGACTGAATTTAGAGCAGCCAAAATAGCCGAATTTCGAAGAGCTAAGAAGGTAATTTGTTGCAGAAATAGAAGATTATTTAATTTTGGTATAATTGATAGAAATTTATATAAATTCTTGATAACAAAACTTATATAAATTTCATATTATTCCGACAACTTTTGCTTATTCATTTCTTGTTAGTTTTCACATTAGCCGTCAAAGTCAGCGCTGCGCTCGTCAATTGCGATTCAAGTTACCTGGAAGGTTATTGACGTACCCGCCGTCGAGCAGGAGATGGCCATCAACAGGGTCACACATGGGTGGCATATAACCAGACAATGACATCGAGGCCCGAATGTACCGCCACAGCGATCCTAAACACGAATCATTTTCTTTAATATTTCGCATTTATCCGGAAATACTTCCTGTATTCTTAAGTCGTAATGAAATTTTTTCTACAACACTGGCTGGAACAATATTGTGTAGAGAGAAAGACGAATTAGAGTTTATTTATTAATAATAATAATTTTAAGAAGAACATACACATCAAGATGAATCTTTAAACGCTCGGAAGTCTTTGAAAATGTTTTTTTACTTGCATAGATTATTTCATTTTTGTTTATGTAAAAAAATTAAGTAATATATTGTGCTTTGCGTATGAATTTTTAGATATTTGTTGAACTATTTCTTGATATCGTGAAAGCAATACAGGAAGCATTGTGTACACCAATTTACAATTTATACATTCGTTTTACGAAAAACAAAAAGATGCCTCGGTTTTTTTTTTTTAAAGCAATAGTAAACGGAGAGTACGTCAACAATGATGATTTGAAAAGCTCACTCCCGCTCATTAAAGCTTCTACTGCTACGATCTAAGGCAATGCATATATCTAAATTTAGCAGCAATAAACAAAATCTACAAGGCAAAGCTACAACTGGTGAATCAAAAAAGAACGAGTTTTAATAAACCGCGTCCGAAAGCAAATAGCTTTGGACACACCACGCGCGTGTTTGTCTATAAAAGAAAACACGACACTGTTTACCGTTTGATTCACCATGAGTATTCTACAGCTGTTTTCGATGACGCGATCAAAGCTTTCAGTTACATTTCCGGTTAATTTTGCATCTAACAGTTATACGATTTTCAGAATCAAGAAAATTTAAGGCGCACGAATTCCGTTCTACGATCGCGCAGCTTTGAATTTCAAAAGTAAATATGTAAAGAAACACCGGCCGAAGAATACATGAAGATGAAATGAAACTGGAAGCTCCGTCGATATTCGGAATGAAAGATTCATCGCTCATACAGACCGTGTCTATGCGTGCGCATGCAGGAGTCCGTGATGTCTGTGGTTATAGTGAAGTACGGCAGCCACAGATCTTCGATATACGTGTCGCCGAAGGTCTGCTGTATGGTCTTGTTGAAGTCCTTGCCGGAGAACATCGAGGTCATCGGGTAAGTCAAATCCAGAATCTGCCGCCACCACTGCGTCATTTTCTGCCGGATAGAGACGGTGTTTTTTTTTTATCGCCATGTTTTTCATCAATCTGACGGTGTGCGCGAGAGTTTTTCGAGAAATTTGCGAATTTAGCTCTGAAAGGTGAAGGTTTACGAGCGCAGAGTTTACTCCCACCTTGGACCACTCCCTGGCCTTCTGCGTGGTGGTGGTGATGTTCTTTTCCATGCACCACAGCGCGCCCATGAAGGCGCCGATGCTGACGCCGCCGACCATGTCTATCGGTATGCCGGCCTCGATGATGGCCTTCAGCATGCCGACGTGAGCGGCGCCCCTCGCGCCGCCGCCGCCCAGCACGAGACCGACCGAGGTGCCGGTCAGCCATCGCGCGAGTCTGCTGAAATCGCTGTGCACGTTCGGCTCGGACATGAGCACCTTGGAGTACAGCTCGTTCTGCAATCAAGCGCGCGTTCGAGTTAAATGCGAGGTATTTTTTTTCTTATCTCACTTGCGAATAAGCTTCCCCGTTTATTCACTTCGCTTACAATTCTGTACTGCGACCTCCTGGTGAACATTCGCTTCGGGCACTGGATGTGATGGTGACTGGACACCCAGGATCTCATGTTCAGCCATTGAACGGTGTTCGTGGGCCGCTGGCCGTTCTGCTCCTTGTGCAGCAGCACCAGCTCCTTCTGCGTTCGCATCACGAGCCGCTCGATCTCGCGCTCCGTTCGACCGATCGATGGCGGTCGATCGCCCAAACCCACGATGAGAATGCAATCGGCCTGTCGCACGCATCGCTGGGTCCACAGCGTGTAACTTGAATCGCATTGGTACAGCGAGATTCTGTGCTGATCCTCCTGCTGTGCGAGCCAGGAAGTTAGCCGGTACTCGTTCGCAGGCTCCATGATGGTCGTTCCTAAAGTCTACAAAGGAAAAGAAGTCGGGAATTATCGGTAAAGTACTGCTGCATCATCAACGATTGTGGAAAATTGATTGAATCGATATTTAATCATTTCTTTCCGTCAAAGAAAAAAGATATAAGTACTCTAAAATTAAATAAACAAAAAAAAACTGTGAGAACAGAAGACTATAGAAATTTTACTTTGCATTAATTGATATTACAATTTCTAGCTTCTTTGAAGCCTTTTTAAAATTGAATGATAAAAATAAACGAAAGTAAAATTCTGTCACTGTAGTATTCAATCGTACGAAGATAAATATTACAATAAGTAATGCGATATAATACCTTTCTCACGACGTCAGACGTTAAACGAAGAGAAGGTCCAATGGCACATAAGGAATGGTACAATTCAAACGTGAAGGCGGTCAATGGTACATCATCCGACACGGGTACGATGGCGACAGTTGAGAAATTCACCTGTGCTGGCCTGGCGTCGACTGTCGCCGCGGCTCGTCTGTGAAAACAAGTCGAGAAATCGCTTTTAATTAACAAGCCTACTCCGACAAACGCCGTGATTTGTGCGAATAATATATTTACTGAGTGTCACTGCTGCCGTTTTTCGTATGCGCTTGCTGCCAGGTGCCGAGTATACGATGCCCGAGGAGATTTATCAGTCTCGTGACGACGATTGGATACCTGAGTTTGATCACGTTGAATAAACCTTCTGGCAGCTTCGCCAGTTCGGAATCACGGACCGCCATGACTGTCGTCGATCTCGGGGTCTGCGTCACCATCTCCACGATGCCCACCAAGTCGCCCTTTCCGTATTCCGCCACCGATTCCTTCTTGCCGTTTTTGTAAGTGATTACCGATCGCAGCCGTCCGCTCAGCACGATGAACGTCGAATCTGATTCATCGCCCTGTCGATAAACGGCCCTCCCGCTTTCGAGGAACAGCCAATCAAGAGCGAAGTCCACCTGTTCAAAAAAATACACTTGCTAGAAATTGGCAAGGCTTTGTCTTTCAAAGATTTCTTTCTTTCTTCCAGGACTTCTACCTGTCTTACGAATGGACTCAATCTGCGAACAACGGTGTGCGCCACGTGCAACACGACTGTAGGCTGCTCGCGCATGATAGTGAAGAACGTTGATTTACTGAGTAGCGCGATACGGCTGGCGTGTTTCGCTCTGATCGTATAAAAGGACGGCTCGCCGGTCAGCACGGCCAAACCACCGACAATCTCACCCTGATGAGCACTAAACATGTGCACTTCTTGACCGGCATCCCGGCCCTCCGACACGCGTTGGCTTACTATCAGCGAGCCCGAAAGCACATAAACAAGTGCGACATCCTGTAACATGATAAAATTTGAGTAATATTGTCTCTCTCTCTTTCTTATAGATTACAAGTGGGAAGAAGACATGGCGAACCTTGTGAGATTCTTCCTTCATCAGATAAGTACCAGCTGGCACTTCCCTAATCTGCACCTTGTCTTTCAGCACAGTCTCGTCCTCTATGCCGAGTTCACGCACAAAGGCGTCGGTGGCTATTTGAATGAGCTGCGCTTCATCCAGTTGCTGCTGCAGCTGCGTTTCGTTGACTTGACGTTTTCTGCTGGAATAAATGCCTCCCATATTGTGAGAGGCTTCTTGATGCGCTTGAGGCGCCGAGGGAGACGAAGTCGGCCAGTGAGAATCGCATTCCGGCACCATGTCCGCCGAATTCTGACCCGATTGCGAGTTGGAGCCCTGATTTTTCCAGTCGATGTTGCTCTTCGATATCCTGCTCGACGTGAAACAGGTATTTAAAGTATCGATCTTGATAAAGTAGTTTCGAGAAAGCTTAATCTATATTCTATGTGAAGTAAAAAAAGATATAATGTACAGTAGCGGTCGATGAAATGTACTCAGCAGGATTCTTCGAAATGACCTGTCTTTGATAAAGTATTGTAAGGGTGATGAGAATTAAATTAGGTTTATTCGGGTATATATAGATAATTAACACGAGCTAGGAATTAGTTCGCGCTTATTTTCAAAAAGTATCGTGCAGTATTTATAAAAATGGCAAATCACCGAAAAATGACCAAAAGTGAAAAATCACAAATATCACAAAATATTAATATTTGTTATAATTATTTGTTCCTATCATTGTTATTGTTATACGTGTAAAATATAAAGCAAGTATTGTCTCCATTGTATATTGTCCTATTTTTATAAATATGTAAAAATATATTAAAACAATTCAACTAAAATGTTCTAATCAAAATTATCGGTCGTTAATACCTTTTAATATAAATTTTACGATTTTGTACAGTACTTTGCTTCAGACTTTAAGGAAAACAATAATACCGGTGAGTACATTTCATTGACCGCTACTGTAGAATTGATCTATAAATTTTTACCGTCGACTCATGATTATCGGCACAGGCTGAGAACCGTTTGAATTAGACGTATCGAAATGCGAAACGTCGCTCATATCGTGCATTTCCAATGTGCCAATTGGAAATATACCGGTTGCACTGTCGATATTCTGCAAAGCAAAGTTTTCTCGAGTCCTCGACCGCACTGGCGAACCGGAGAACGGGCTCTGCTTCTTCCTGTGTGATCCTGGATTGACCAATTCCGCAGAGAGGCCGAGATACTGGTGCAAAGCGGTGAAGGTGACTCTCTGCAGACGCACCATAATGACCTGGATAACTCGAACAAAGGCGTCAGGATAATCTTGAAATACCTGAAATAATATCGATAGATAAAATGTCAGTTTTTATTCATTAAAAACGAGTGAGCTAGATTTCTAGAATGAAGAAATGACAAGATGCACAGCTCACCTCTTGAAACGCGCTCATTGGTAACTTCACTACGATAGAATCTTCTACAGCTCTTGCCGATACAGTTTTATATGTACTCGTATGCCCGGTAAGTACATCAGTAAAGCTAAGAAGACTGGTAACTGATTCGCCTGTTTTTACTAGTTTCAGTGAGATTTGAGAGCCATCGGGTCCAGTGATATATACATTGACCAAGCCCTGTTGCACTATAAACAAGTTTTCGTCGGGGTCCCCAATTTTGAACAATGTGCTGCCAGCGGGTAAATTCATAATTTCCGTGTGCTTGCACAATTTCAAGAACACGGGCTTTTCAAAGTGGCCGAAGACTCTGATACTTTGCAGTATGTACAGAGCATCCGGTGGCACTCTCTCACCGGGTCCCAAATCTTCTTCCAGATATTCAGCAGGTGGTTCCAGTACCTTAAAGTCGAATAATTTAATTTAGATAAATTGGAGAGAATTAGCAAGAAAAGTACACTTGTTGTAAAACATACTTTGAGTTGTGGTGGAGCGGTTTCCTTCTTAAGTTGCAGCAATCGGCGAGCGAATCTCATAACTGCTCTCCTCTTCTTTCCCTGTCCGGTGGCGTGCACTTGGCCGCCAATGGACTTCACTTTGCGCAACATCTTTCTGCCATAAAAGAGAACCTTGTCTCTCTTCCTGAATCTTGGCTTCCCAGTGCCCACCCCGACAAACTCCTTCACCTCTGGCAAAAACTCTTTGTTCTTCCATTTGCGCAGCACAAAGATGGACACAACGACGAGGGTAAGCAATAGAGTTGTGGCAATAACGAAAATCGTTCTTGATGTCTGATATTCTTCCACAAATCTTCCAATCCATCTTGAGAATATGTATGATCCCAGACTCTCGTTGAACTTATTAAATAATTCTACCACCTGCATTTGACATATTTTATCATTAGTGTGACTTAAAATGTTTTTTAATCTAATTTAATGAAATGTTCTTCCATCTAATTTATCATTTAAATATTTAATTAATGGTTTTCTGAATAAAGTAGGAAACATTAAGAATATCATAAACTTTTTTTATGTTTATAAATTTTGTCTTATTTCTTATTGATTTCTGTCAGAAAACTGAATTATAAAGGCAAATTTTATTCATTACAGTAAAATGTAAAACCTGAATACAAAAATGATATAAGATGATATAAATAAGAATGACAGTTGAGACTGACATATTAATATTTTGCTTCATGAAACAGCCAGCATACTATCTTCGTTATAAAATTTCTACATTTTGCGTAATCTTGGCACAATTGTTCTTTCTAATGCAAATCAAAGAAATATATTAACTATTGTGTTTGAAGTAAACAATTTTTTTGACATAGTCACCATAGTGACACTTGACATGGTCTCAAGTTAACCTTTACATCTTAAAAGTTTGATTGCAATTAACAATAGCAGTATAAGTCTTTAGATTAATGTGGTACAATTAAGTATGCAGGATGCCACATTGAAGATCATATTAATCAACAGAAATTTGATAAGAAAGACAATAAAAACAACCTCCATAATGGACACTCATGTCTCCTTCGTCGTCGAAAGATGTGTTGGAATGTGTCACTACCACACCAGGACGGCATATGTTAACGAGCACGTGAAGCGCACGAAATGCAAATCAAGCACGTTAAAATAACAAAAGAATTATCTATTTGTTCCAAGTAGCGACCTTTGATACTTCGCTCGAGTCACCCAGCGCCATTTTGTTCGTCACTGCGAGATCGATGATTTAAAATAATTTAAGTATGTGTGAGAAACGCATTGACAATTCGAGCAATCACTATAAATGGAATTTTACACAATTTACGCAATCACTCCATTATAGATCTCTATTTCAATGTTTCCGTTTTGTTTAATTCTTTTCTCGAAAATTAGAAATGTTTACTTTGTTTATCTAAATTTATTTCATCATATTTATTACTTAATTCTGTTTAGCTTTTCATAAAAAATTTTGCTTTACAACGACAGCTTTTCAAGAAAATTTTTAAATATAAAGTTTGTACATATTACATTTCAATAATTAATCTTACAGACAAGATCTGAAGACCGACAAGATCATAATTAATTAACATCTTATTATGTTTCTAAAGCAGCCGGTGTGTGAAAATATACGTTATGCAAAAGTTTGTAAAATACTGTATACAAATAATCGATATTATTAATAATAATTTCAAGAATTTCCGCACTTTTACAAAATATATTATTTATATTGTGCACTGCAAAGTTCCGGATTCAAATTTCGCGCGCTACGTCTCGCGTAGGTCGGCGCACGCGCTTGCGCGCGAGTAGTCAGGCGCAACGCCGGCAGAGCGCGCCATGTCGAAATTCCGGGCAGCTTCTGACAACGGCCAGTCTCGGCGGCGGTGGCAGCGAAGGAGGAACGGTGGGCAGTCGGTGGTTACGAGAGCGACATGTTGGCGATATCTGTGTGATTGTGCGCGTGGCGGGCGATCTCTGACGCGAGATCTCGTGCGTTTTTACGGTGCGTGTGATCAACGATACGGTGCTGCGGAGTGCACGAAGTGAACGAGGGCGCAGACGTCGCCGATACATGTGAAGTGTCGCGGGGATAATTATTCGCCGTCGCGCCCGCTGGTTTACCCGGCCCAGCAAACATGAGCTGGGGCACGGAGCTCTGGGTGAGTCTCGCTTGTTTCTACCCTCTCTCTTCCCCTCCGTCTCTCTCTTTCTCTCTCTCTCTCTCTGTGTGTGTGTGCGTTTCTTTCTTCGTCTTCATCGCAGTCTCCGCGTACATTCGTCCTTGTCGCTCCTCTCTCGCCGCCCCCTCCCGCCCGTCTCTGCGCCGCAGGCGCTTCGTTCGACTCGTCGCGATCCGTTTTTCCACCATACAAAAGTCTGGAGAAAACGTTCTGGAAAATGCATCCGCCGCATTTCGCGCGGAAAATATGCACGGTCGCTCGCTATTCCGCCGCCCGATTCCTCGCAGCGCGAGCACGTACTCGCAGCGTTAAATACACGCCCGTCCGCTCATTCGTCCCAGCTGCTATTTCCTCGTATATTTACGACAGGCATTACGTCCTCTCGCGTTCCGGCGAGGAATGTAATTTGCGTTCGAACGATGCTGTGCGATTTTTGCGAGGCGTCGTTCGATAATAGTCGAGCGTATTTCTACGAAAGGCCCTCGGCATCTGGCTACGTTCAGGTAGCTGATCGCGGCCGTGTGCGTGACGTTTGCGGCCCGAGTCGCATACCCATTTCTCGGCTCCGCGAGGGAACCACGTCGATGGCCGCTCGTTCCATTCATTCTCTCGTGAAAATTCCCTGCTCCGCATTGCACGTCACGCATAAACAACGCGATTGTCGTTCGCACGTATTTCTCCGTCCTCGGCCGAGACGTTATTTGTGGGACTTCTTCGTTCGAGAACAATACTTTGTGCGAGGTAATGAATCGACATGCCCTAGTTTTCAATGATATATATATATATATGTATTTCTTTAGCGACCGGATTATTCCCTTAAGAACATTTGCGCGAAACGTCATTCGATTTGTTATTAGTGACGGAATTTCAACATTGCAGCGATTAAGTTCCAAGTTGAATTTCTCCCAGCTTTTAGTAGGAATTTTTAACTCCCGTTAAGTTCGCTCGAAATATTAAATCGTTTGCATCAATCAGTTTTCTGGCCTTTGCTACTGTCTTACAGAATAATTTATTCATCATTGTGAGAAACATGTATATTTATTGACTTTAGATCGTGCTTGCAATGCAAAATATTGAAAACTTGGAATATTTATCGTCGAGAGAAGACGTCATTCTTATCTCGTTCGGAATAGATAACTGCTTTTGTGTGACAGATGATTCATTCCTTGTACATCTTTGTAGTATCCTTGCAGCGTATCCTTGAATAGTTTTTCATTCTTTCTGACAAAAGAAACGTGAATCTATATTTGGAATTATAACCTTCCGGAATTCCATCTTTATCTCTCGTCTGTCGGGATGATCTTTGCATCGATCCGTAAATATCATCGTGTATTTCGAATTTTAATTGCGTAGCTTAAGATGAGGCAGTTTTAACGCGCACGTCTCGAGAATTTAGAGTTGCAGGAATTTTTTTTTCATGAATATTTTTACATTCCGCCGGATTTCAGATAGCTAATAGTTGCAAATGAGAATTGCAATTACTATCTTCTGTATCATCCATCTGTCTATCGAGCCTTCATTTCGCCTTCAGCAAACTATCGTAATTTCACGCGACCATACAATTGAGTTTTTTTTTTTTTTCAATATACACTAGTCTATCGTGTACTTTCCAGCCTCTTGCACCAAACTGCTTATTAAATGCTTTATCTATGTGTCTATCTGTCTGCCCATCGAACCTTTCAATTTGCTTCAAGCATTATGCGATTTCATGACTGTACAATTCCGACTTTTTTTTTGGAAGCTAAACGAAATTTTTTTCACAACGTTTTTTCTTCATCCTCGTTCGAATTCCTCCGTTCGCGCGTTTGCCGAATCCTTCAATGCGGCAGATGTTATAAATTTTATTCGCGATCTTAATTAAAAGGAAAGAATCATTAAAAAAAAATATATTTACAAGAGAATAATATTTTTCGTAAGCATTTTGAGTACATTTTAACAGCAATTCTGCGAGACTTAAAGAGAGTCTACGGCGTCTGTTGAATCTAACAAGCTCATTGTGAGCGTACAATGGCGATTTTTATTAGCAAACGTCGCTCTTCTATCGCGCGTTTTTCAAAATACACTTTTGAAAGGACTTTTTATCTTCTGCCGAAAGTTAGCCGCCGCCGTCGTTGTTTTCGCCGACGACATGTAACTGCGATATCCCCGAAAAACCAGTTCGCCGGTTCGCCGGGAGTTTTGCCTTTTCGGTTGCTAGCCGCGGGCGACGTGTTGTCCCCCGCGGTTTCCCCCGTCTCTCCCTCTAGCACGCTGTCCGCGCGCACCTTTCCTGTCCCCTCGCACCTTGCTCGTGGCGGAGCACGCGTTCTTTTGCTTCCTTTCTCGTGAAATCCTCGACGGCCACGACGGCGACAACATCGACTTTACGGCCGATTTACGTTCCGCGGAGACTTGCATTTCGGGAGAAAACGATAACTCGGCGTTATATTTTAGGATGTGTCGCGTCTAAACAATACGAATGTCCTTGCGCAATAAAGAGCGTTCTTTGTGATCCTCGCGAGGGTGCGAAAATAGACGTAAAAACACGAAGATGCTGCGAGAACGTCAAACGTGGCGGGCGATGTGTTTTGTATTTGTACAATTATTTTCTGTCGCGTTTATTTCTTATTCTATTGAATGCGTATCGAACTGCAGTCGCTTTGATATTCGCGACGCGCTACAGATTTCCACGAATGGGGGCGTAAAATAGATGGAAGAATCCCGACGCCTTTAGTGCTCAGTGAATGAAGAGCTGCTATGATCTTCCAGGAAAATTTCTTACGTATATCGCGTGCGTAAGCTTAAAATCGATTCACTCTCTGCGCGCCAATGACGTCCCCGCGCCTCCGACTTCTCTATTAATAATTCATTCGTTCATTCCGTGCGCCATCATTTTCGTTGTACCCTCCCGTTATTTTTGATATACTCGATCGTACGATGAGTGCTATCATTCTGTCGGTTCAAAATCATACGCTGTCTTTCGCATTTTGTTTCGCGTATGAATTCTTTGATCACTTGCATATTTTTCTCGACGAGGAAATCAAGGCTGTAAAAAGTATCGAATTATAAGCGCAAAAAGATTGAAAACTAGAACGTGAGAAGTCCTCTTTAATTAATACAATTTGCGATTTTTATTCGATAATTAATTCTCTCCTTTCAATTCTCTTAATCTTACTTTTTTTTATTATTTAAAATATTTGATATTAAAATAGTTGATATAAGATATTTTAGATTTTTAATTTAGCAAAATTTCCACTTCGGTAAAAATGTAGATCTTCGATGGAATCTTTAGGTATGCTTGTTTCTCCTTGTTCTTCTTGAAGAGCGATTCTCTCCTTCAATAAAGATACGACAAGGCACGCCCGTCTCATGCGTGTACACATGTCACGAGTAGCTGGCTGTTAAACACGGACACGTCTTGTATCGTGATTCACGGGAAAGTGTACGACACGTCAATGAGTCGTGATACATACGACATATTTCGGACAGCGATCAATCTGATAACGGAAATTACGTTCCTAATCGAACTCCACCGCCAACTCGATAAAAATCTGGATGTTCCGCTTAAATTTAGCGAGCGTCGCTGATGCTTATTGAGTTTCGGCTATCGAGATGCCACTTGGCGCTTCGAGATAATCGAAAAATATGTACCGCGCGATATAAAATCGCTTATGTGTGTCAAATTTAATTTGAATAGAAGAATGCCGAGTCCGCTTTCTTCGGAGATGATTGTTGATTATCGATTGTCTCGATTCACCTCTTAACCGGGCGGACACAGCACTGACCCTGACGAAAATTAATTCGGCCCCCCTCAACTGCACCGTGGAATCGATAGACACACGAAAACGGCAGGGGGAGCGCTCGAGATATAATCACGAGCACTTACGTCATCCTGCGCGGTATCGCGATTTGGAAATGACGCCGCCGATTCCCGATTTCGCGCCGGAGAAAGTAACACTCGTCTCGTAACCTTCGCAACTTTTCCCTCCTACGCTCGCTTCGCTTCCATTTCTCGCGCGTAATAATAATCCCGCTCAGGTGAAAGACACGCGGTAGCACGATTTTTTTTTTTCTACAAGCCTCGACGGCAACTCTAATCTGTCTCTAATAAAGTTAACCGTCACTTATTTTTCAGAAAGTTACATTTTATTATTATGACGGCCATTATTATTATCGTTATCGTCGCGCATGTGTGTATTATTTTTTTATAATTATATATGCAGGCGTAAAAAAAGTATGGACAATCCTTACATATTTCTTACATTTTATTGCGAACTACTCGAGAAATGTGTATGTTGATATTCTAAATTTAAATATTATCGTGTGCTTTTAGCTGTAAATGTGTGTCGTTGCGAAACTTCACCGATTGTTCCTTAGCGCGCAACAATTGTTCAACGTTTCCGGCATTTTTCTCGAGAGAAAAGGAGACAATCCGGAAACGAAACGCTCTTGAGACACGTCGCAGGAATGTGTCAAATCGTGAAATCACCGCGACATACACAAAGCGGCCAGCCTTTTGTGTGGCAAAGATAGTTATTCATCATCTCGCATTGAAATGCATAATCGACTAACGGAAACGCACTTTGCGATATTTTCCTTAATAGAGATTAGGCGAGCAATCATTCCTGTAACCATATGTCGGACGTTGAATTGTCACCGCTTTTTTTTTTTCGGGAAAATTTAACATTAAAAACTAAAAAAGTAGCATTGATCCTGCGCTGTAAACCAAAGGAGAGAATTAATTGTCGAATAAAAGTGGCAATAGAAAATCGTAATTATATATTAATTAAAAAAGAATTTTTATGGGATTTTACTAACACAGGCTTTCACAATGTCATTATGTGCAGTTTTATCAAAACACTTTTCACGCGTTTGTATTGTAGAGCCGCGAGAACCTTCAAATATACATAATTATATCACAAAAAATTTGATTTGCAGAAAATTCTTCGATGATATTTACAATGTTACTGGGAAAATATCAGAGGAAATTTCAATATATA